CTGTAAATCATGCATTAGAAGAAAAATATATAGATCTATGTGCTCAGGTGGAAACTTAGTGCACTAAGCTGCAGCATACATTAAAAAGAGTTTAGGAACCGGATTATGTAATCTACTTGCTTACCATTCATTAGCTGACAGTAGGTTAGAAAAATAATGTAGTGAACGTGTGGCTGAGGAAAAGCAACTTTCTATGATAAAGTAGCCAGATGAGCATTGTAACGCGGCGTGACTTAATGGCTGACCTGCAGCTGATTTGATCGATCACTGGTCTTTATATGAACCATTGAGCACTTTCCTGAATATATTGAGGAAAGTGCGCACTAGTTCGACACGGTTCTTTTTTTCCCATGCTAATACGTAACCCATCATAAGCACCTAGTCATATTAAATTAGTGCAGAGTGTGTGCTCAAACAAGGCAGTGCAGTTATGTGACATATATGTGATTGACCATCTAGAATTGGGATCAATTCCGTCAGTAAATACGTGGCCACCAATTAGAAAACTTAGTTGTTCTATTGCCATCTATTAAATAATGCATCTATGCGCCTAATAAAATACTTGGGTCCCGAATCTACTTGTACTAATAGGTGGGAACATGTGGTCTACTGCAAACTCGCTCAATTTCTGTAAACAACATAGTTATGAATGATAGAAGAGATTGAACATTCCTTAAATGAATACGCCAATTAAATTTGGTTGGAATATCAATTAAGACAAAACAGTATTAATCCCGCAGGATTGCTAGGTTGTTAATAGCATAAGCAGGTCTTTTATTATTTAGGTTCACAGCTATTAATGAGTAGGTTATTCTTTACTGGTATTAAATGAACTCAGTGATATTTAAGCACTGCACCGTTTAACAGGAGAATAGAAGTTAGTTGAACCAAATAAACTCAAGGAAATAGGATTTTTGCGCCGGGAACAGCAAGCTTTTTTCAGGACGCTAAATTAACAGTAAACCATCGGAGCGAAAAACTGAAGTAGTCAAACAAAAACTCATAACATCGGTGGATTCTTAATATACTGGTTCAACGGCAATTCCACTTTTTATTATACTTAAGACTGTGAGCGGTATGTACTCGATGTAGCTATAATAATCCGCCAAAATATATTGTGTCATTACAAAGCACACTAATAAGTAGTTCAACCCATACCTTGTGATGAAACTTAAATGGCGGAAATTTCATGCATCCGTGAACGACAGTGGGTAGCGCGACTACATAGGAACCCCGACAGTGCTCACGAGAAAATACTTTCCTAAGCAATGTGACACTTAAATAAAGTGAGCATATCAACAAAAGACGTGAAAGGAATGGGCATGACAAACCTTGAGAACATTGAAGATGCGCATATAGCACTATGAAATCAAGGCAGTCCCAACATACATCGTAATAATTGGTCCGCTGCGCATGATAATCTAGACAGATCGCAACTTCCCAGTTTTGTGTAGCCACTTATGGAGTCGGTTTATCAATACTCCGATGTTCAAGTGACAACAAAAGAACTGAATTATAAACTAAACATTTTCGATCCCTATTGAATACACATTACACATTATGCCCCAATGGATGTTAATAACTTCCTTAAATTTATTCCAACTAGTATGACTACGGATACGTCTACGGATACACTATGCTCCAATTTTCCGACGTACCTCCAGCATATGTAGCATAACTGTCCATTTCCTAGATGCGAGTATTCGCGTATTCAGCGATTATTATGAGGAAGCTGCTATCATTGCTCAAGCCTGGTTCCCCCGATTTTGTTAACATTCCCTCGGAACAAAGCAGGTAGCAGCTATAAGTATAGCCAAGGCATTGGTGGGAGTTTTCAAAAGAGGCCTAGACGAACAGCAAGTCCTTAACATGTGAATGCTAGGTATAATTACCTCGACATTCAAGTGTTGTTGCCGTTCAAATCCCGCTAACTATTGCCCAGTGAATATCCTCACGGATCTCTCAATTTTGATGGAATCAGTCAGAGCTGAGGCACCGGAGCAACACGGATTCTGTCAATTTTGGTCTCATACTATCAACCTACTTATTACCCGTATCATTTGTACCGAGATAGCCGACAGTGCGACCAGAATTGTCTTCATCTACAAAGAGCAGTGGGTCTCCCATTTTGTGCATGTTATCCACAAAATGGTTCTACTATACCTGATTACCCCAAAAAATTGCATCATTTTACGTATCGATCTACCCATTAACTATCGCAGATTTCGTTTTAACTGACGGGAAATGAATAATATACCTATTTTATTTATTTTTAGCCCTCAAACAAAATATCTCTATTTAGGTAAAAACGTTTTATTAAGTCAGGAATTGATATACGTTAATGTGACAGTTCAAATTGCTTAACTCCAATGATTTCTGATCTATTTGGTAAGCTTCCGGCTACTGCACATCATCATTCGTGGTCCAACTTCGTTCAGTTCCTTGTTTGCATCTGTGATCAGTGATCATGCATTAAGCGATGTCAGTGGCTTATCATTTGTTTCGACTGTTCCTTCCAAATGATTCCTGCGTGACAGTTTCCCACGAACAAGCTGTATCGAAACATCCTGAACACGGAACGCCTGTTTTGTACTTTCTACCTTGTAAAGATTGGGTCGGTCCTTTAGTTAGTCAGCTGACCTATGATCCTAACTGAACTATGTATTCAGACGAAACGAACCACCAGGTCACCCAAAAGAACAGCGATAAAGGAACCAGATGTTAGAGGCGTCATTTAGCTGCGCTATTTCACAAGCTTGTATTCGTGTTTTAGGTGATAAACTTTTATCAAATGAAAATGTCTACTCATTGACCACTTATTAGTGATCAGCGATTGATGGCTAAACTAAAGTGGTTAGGTATCTACTTAATTGTTATGATTGAGAAGGTTTTGTTATAAATTTTCCTGGAGACAGATTGTTGACAGAACCCTCGTGCTTACCTTTACCCCCAGGAAAATTCCATTTTACCCCAGTTAGAATAATTACCCCTAGGTTAATTACCAATGACCATGACATTATAAAACGTTCGACCGCATTGAGCACCGCATCCTCCTCCATAGGCTGCAAGCGTACGGTGTTGGGATCCCTGTGCTTGGGTGAATGGTGAACTTCCTCCTTCAGCAGCGCCTCCCCGTTTGATTGCTAGTCTCATTTCCTGCTGCAGGTAATCTAAACTGGGGTGTTCCACAAGGGCCAG